ATGATTAGACAATTTGGACAATTTCCATGTGTAGTCAAATCCCACTCAATGCAAGACATAGAAGGTATTTAATTTATGCATAGGGGCAAAAATGTCCAATTTTGACATTTTTGCAACTTCTTAAAAAATGTGACATTTTGGTACAAACATGATAGCAAAATGACATTTGGCGTAATTTCCTCAAAAAAAAAATAAGAAAAAAAAATTATATATATATAAAATAATATTACAAATAAATTTAAATTTCTTTTTTTTTTAAATTTTCTAATCACATGTTTTCCCGACAAAATACTATTTAAAATATATCGTTGGGAATATTGTGGCTCAAAGAGGGCAAGTGTTGCGAACAGTGAACTGACACAACGTAATGATTGTTAAAATAGTGCTTTGACTTTTAGAACCCACCGTAGCTTTCTTTGCATGAGCTGCTGCAACGTTGCGTAAACTTGACAGAGACTTTTACAGTTTCACACTCTGATTACGATCTTCAATTCAATAAATGTTCTCTCCCTAATCTTATTGACCGTGACCTTGTTATTCTTTAAAAATAGATTCACACAAAATATTTTGTATTTACATTCTAACAGTTTGATTTGTTTTATTCTTGAATAGTCACTGTCACTCTGATTTTTTCATTACATTTTTTTTTCTGGATGCACCCCATTTTCCGTGTTTTTTGGGTATTCAAGAGTTGAATGCAGCGTAATCTTCTTTATTGTGTGCGCATGAGAGATTGGCTGCACCTCCAAATTTGTTGATGATAGCGCTGTGCGAAAAAAGAAAGAGAGACAAAAGGGTGGGACTGTTCACATCTGTAGTCCATTCTTTGGGCATTTGATTATATGGCCTTCGCTTTTGGGTTATGCATCAACACTTTAGAAAGTGTTCAAAATGTTTAAAAAATCAAGTTTTGTTATCTGTAACTGATTTAAGGATTTTTGAGGTTTTTCTTGATTTTGCGTTTCTGGGTTTTTGGCCAAATCTGCTAAGCCTATTTTGTAACAGTACTTGGGGGGTTTTGATCGTGGGTTTGCCCGTGCAAGTGTTTTTGATTATCTGGGTTTTGCTTATAATTGTGTTTATTAAGTGGAATTGGAGCTAGTGACTTCAATTTTTCCTTTACTGGATTTGACTGTGACATAGGAAATTCGGATTTGCTGTGCAAGATTTTGTTTTTTTGGCCCGGAAACTGGTGAAATTGGACTTCAATTTTGAAGGTTATATCTGTGTCAGATTTCTGATGTATTAATGCTCTTTTGCTTGATCTTGGGAGGTGATCGTGGATAAATTTTGATGAACGCTTTGAGGCGAATTTTAGTTGTTCTGGAATGCAATTAATGCTGTAGACTACGATTTTGCCTTTTACATTGTGGATTTTGTATTGTGAAGGATAATTGAATCCTAAGATTTGTTAAGGCTATGTTGGAAATGTTGAAATTTAATTAATCTTGGATGCTGATGAAATGGCATCTCAATCTCCACCCCCAAAATCTCCACCTGCTGCTGTTCCACCAGCTTCCTCCAATTCTTCACCACCTCTGTCTTCCCCTCCGCGTTCTATCCCATCAGGACCATCAAATGCTCCGCCACCTCAGCTCAATTCTCCTCCACCCACCACCACTCCATCACCTCAATCCTCCCCTCCAACCAATGTTGCACCACCTCCTCCAGCCTTGCCCCCGCCTCCTGTGTCTCCTCCACCTCCTACTACATCTCCTCCTCCTCAGCCTACACCCTCTCCACGGCCAGCCAATATACCGCCTACATCTTCAAGTCCTACACCACCATCTATCCCTCCTTCAAGTTCACCTCCACCTCCACCTCCACCTCTGCCTAGCGCACCAGCTAGCTCACCACCCCCACCTGTGTCTAATACTCCAGCTAGCTCACCACCTCCACTATCCAGTGCCCCTGCAAGTTCACCACCATCTCCATCAACTAAGCCACCGATAAATTCACCTCCACCTCCATCGCCATCATCCATACCCTCTGCAAGTCCACCTGCGCCACCAAAGAATGATCCACCTCCAGGTCCTCCACCACCAACACAATCACCAGAAAGTCCGCCTCCACCTCCATCTACCCTTCCCCCTGCGAATTCACCTCCCCCACCATTATCCAAGCCGCCTCAAAATTCCCCTTCACAACCAGCAGCCAAACCACCCCAGAAGTCGCCTCCACCTCCAGAACTTATCTCACCTGAAAGTTCGCCCCCACCACCAGCATTAGTGACACCCTTTAAATCTCCACCTCCATTTCTGACCCCACCATCTCGTTATCCTCCAGCATCTCCCGCATCTTTAAATTCTCCTCAAAGGTCACCACCACCACCTCCTCCCTCTGTAGTGTCCTCACCAACAAACAACAATTCCAGCACTAAAGCTCCCGAGAGCTCACAATCTGCAGGTGGTGGAGGCATTGGTACTGGAGTCACTGTAGCAATTGTTTCAGTACTTGTCCTTCTATTGCTATCCATCTTTGCATCGGTAGGGTGGTGTATATGGAAGAGAAAGAAAAAGGTCTCTGGACTTGGTGGCGGTTACATCATGCCAACCTCTGTTGGTTCTTCACCAAAATCAGGTTAATTTTCCAGCACTGCTATATTACTTTCTCACCACGCTTGGTCTTTGCTCTTTGCATGTTTGCAAATTATATAAGAACTTGAGAAATTTGTGTCCAGATTCCACTTTATTGAAGGTCCAAATAGCAGCACCTATCAATGGAAATGGCTCTGGCAGTGGTTTTGAAAATTCACCACGTGAGCCTGGTGCCTTGGGAAATTCAAGGCCATGGTTTACATACGAAGAACTAGTTGAAGCCACTGATGAATTTTCAGGACAGAATCTCTTGGGTGAAGGTGGATTTGGTTCTGTTTACAAAGGATGTCTAGCAGATGGTAGAGTGGTAGCTGTTAAGCAGTTAAAGATTGATGGGGAACAAGGGGAGCGAGAATTCAGATCTGAAGTCGAGATAATTAGTCGCATACACCATCGGCATTTGGTTTCACTTGTTGGTTATTGCATTTCTGAGAACAAAAGGCTGCTTGTATATGATTATGCCCCAAATAATACTCTCTACTTCCATCTTCATGGTAAATGTTAGTGTTTACATAAATCATGGGTTTATGATACAACGTTAATTAATACTGGTGGTTGCTCCCTGCATCTCATAGGTGAAGGTAGACCTATTATTAGTTGGGCTACACGTGTACGGATTGCTGTTGGTGCAGCTCGTGGAATAGCTTACCTTCACGAAGACTGTAAGCTACTAATTATCCTTCTTTTTCCAATTTTATTTTAAATTTTTAAGGTTTCTTCATATCTCTATCTCCCATAAAGAAATAAGTCTCTATCTACATTCTCTTCCCTTATGGCATTCTTGTTAACTTTGGTTCTGGTTGTCCTCATCATGGTCAAATATATATATCTAGTTACCTATCTTCACTGACATAGAATATGGTCATGAAAATGCAATGTTGATAACCCTTGTGAAACAAAGAATTTTTATTTATTGAATTGAAGTACATCGTGAAAGAGTAGCAATGGATAATGACATTTATGTCACCTTAATGCTCATCTTATCTTTGATTACAAAAGGAGTAAGGGGAAAAATCGTTGTCATATTCATTTTATATTCCCAAATCTTGCTTCTGAAATTTGAAATGTCAAGACTTAGCTGATCTTCATTGTATATGGATTGTATCTTGAAAACATACAAGTAGTGCATCTATTAGCAGGATCAATAATCTAAAGCAATGAAAATAAATACCCTAGGGGTTTAGTTGGTCAAGTCTCTCTCGCTCTCTTCTAACAGTTACTAAAGAATTTGTATACAGTGCTAGGGAATGCTGTGTCAACGACACTGAGGAAGAGAGGTGACTGACATTTACTATGTGATACTAAAAAAAAAAAAAAGATGGATTGAGTTTGTTTCGGATTCAGCGGTTTGTTCTGGCATTTTAACTTTGAATAAGTGATGGTATTTTAGATATCTTTATGTCATTGAATAGAAAATATCGATTTGCTATTGCTTTAATGATCTTTATTGTACAATAGGTCATCCCCGTATTATTCATAGAGATATCAAGTCGTCAAACATTCTCCTAGACAACAACTTTGAAGCTCGGGTATGCCCAACTCTTTGATATTTTTTCCCTTTCGCCACATATCTTTCTGGAAAAGCTTCTAATATTAACTACTTCACAGGTTTCTGATTTCGGACTTGCTAAATTAGCAATGGATACAAATACACATGTTACTACGCGGGTTATGGGGACCTTTGGGTAAGATGCATTCTAGAAGTGGTCTGGTACAATGAAAGATTTGGAAGCACAAGAGATCACATGTGTTACATCACTGTCATTCTAATTCTTCTGGTTGGTCAATTTCAGATACATGGCTCCTGAATATGCAACAAGTGGCAAGTTGACAGAAAAGTCCGATGTATTTTCCTATGGAGTTGTGCTTTTAGAGCTAATTACGGGTCGCAAGCCTGTGGATACATCTCAACCCCTAGGGGAGGAGAGTCTTGTAGAGTGGGTGAGTTATTATAATTCCCACGACCAAAATTTATTTGACTTAATAATTACTCCTATACCTTTGCTTGCATGGAAAATTATTATTTCTTTGATTTATCTGGTTTAGCATCCTTGTATGGGTTTAGCATCAAGAAGAAAAGGTCAATCATGCTACAATTTTCACTTAGATTTGTTTTTTTCTGGTAACTCAGTAGTAAAAAAGTATAAAACTATATTGTTCAACACTGTACAAACTCAAACCATAACTAATGAATTATCAAGTACAGAAAGCAATTCTGATCCTTGAAATGAAAGCTCTGACTGAGGAACGTGTCCCACTGCCATTATTGCAACCATTAACTTGAGGGAAGAGTTAAACCGACCGCGATTTGAATTAGTAGTGCCTCTTTGGGGGATTTATCTATCCCATTTCTACATAGGGTTTTCTATACCAGGTTTTACTTTCAATTCCTGAGCTTCTACAATTTTTATTTCTTCAAAATATATACAAAAGAGTTGAGAAAAATACATTCTTTTGGCTTGCTCTCCTTTCTCCCTCCCTCTCTCATGATAAAGATTAGGATGGTTGAAAATTGATATTTCTGCTCCAAATTAGAACATGAACTTCACTATTCACGTCTGATGAAATAGACTGCAAGCAGTAAAATTTTGGAGCTCAAATTTCCACTCTCTAGATACTATCTCCCTCCTTGAATAACTTTGCTATCGAGTTCCATTTCATGGAACCTCTGTATCATGCTTCGGTAAAAAGACCTAAAGACTCTTATTAAAATGTATTCATATTCATTCCTAATTACATCCTATGCTAAAATCACCTCAAATATTAACTGCACATCTGCATTCTGCACAATTTTGGTAGAACAAGGGCAAATTTGATATAAAGAAAATTTAAGATTCCAATTTTCCTTACACGATGTATTTCTACAGGCTCGACCTTTGCTTAGTCATGCACTTGAGACGGGGGAATTTGAGAGGTTGGCAGATTCAAGGCTTGAAGGAAATTATGTTGATAGCGAAATGTTTCGAATCGTTGAGGCTGCTGCAGTCTGTGTGCGCCATTCAGCTGCAAAGAGACCGAAAATGGGACAGGTTTAACTCTTGCTGTCAGAGTTAATCTTTGTCTTTTTGTTGACAGGGTTCTTATTCTAATGATGTAATGCTTTACAGGTTGTAAGGGTATTTGATAGTATGGCTACCTCGGACTTGACAAATGGAATGAAAGTGGGGGAAAGTGCAATATTTAACTCTGCACAACAATCTGCAGAAATTAGATTGTTCCGGAGGATGGCATTTGGTAGTCAAAACTACAGTACAGATTTTTTCAGTCAAAATAGCTCGAGGATGTCATTGGAGAATAGTCGTTAAGATTGATGCATTGAAGTTCCAGATTTTTTTTCAGGTCATTTGAATATATTGATGTAATTGCAACGCAAACTCGACTAGGAGGTACTGATTTGTTTCACTATCTGTGCATCTGATACAACTTCAGACTTCCCCAATCCGGTTAGGGTTTTATAGAGAATGTTTATTTTAGCATATACAAGTATTTTCTATTTGTTGCAGCAATTTTTCCCTGTAAGTAACTTCAAATTTTTGTTCAGTGATTACCTTTTTCTTATATAAGTTGTTCAATTGATTCCTTTTATTGTCTGATTGAAAATCCTTATATTTTGCAGCCTTCTGGTGATGTATACTATTGAGTCTTATAGTTGTTTTGATGCATTAATAAGACTAGTTTATCATAAAGGGAAAAATTATACTATAGAATCCATGCATATACCCTTGTAGAGAAAAATCAGAGAAGTGAATTTGTATACCTATAATAATCATGGAATCTTAGATGTCATTTGGAAGAAGAAAAATGACAAAGTAGTCGAGACAAGACCTTAATACCATATTCAAGTTCTTCAGAGAACGCAACCCTCGTGGTTTATTGGAGGATGCATACATTATCTCAAGTGATTGGACATAATGCGTCTGCAGGCGGTATTTTACATCCACTGCCAAATCACATACCAGGCCACAACTCTAGACAGTGGAAACTACCAACTTAGAGGATGGATGGAGAGGAATTTAATTCCCGTTGAGCTGTGATATGCATAGAGATCGAAAAGTGTTAATATTAATGTACCTGGTCCGAGATTGAAGATACAACACTTGAGAAGACACTGCAGCTAAGGTGAAAAAAATATGAATAGACATGCTTGCAGCTTTAGCAAAGCTATAAAAGCTTTTCCTCTTGATTGAGAGAGATGGACATGAAGATTTTGTGATTTAAAGGAGAGTCTTTTGAGGAACTATGATACTCCCACCACAGGGAGATATATATTGATTGCACCTTCTATCTTGTGATTCTATGTACTGACTCATTTAACTAGGAGTCAATTATCATTGATTTAAGCATAAGTTTTCTTTCCTTGGCATGATTCTTAGTTCATAATTGTTTATTTTTAAGGTAAGCTTTGCTTTAACTCGTATTTTGATAGAAAGATCGTTGATCTATCTTCAAGTTAAAATATTACTCGGATATATGATATTATAGATTATTGTGCTTTGACATGATATTTTCGTGATTGTGAAAGAGAACAAGAATGCATTTTGAAGCATAAGAGTAGCTGGTATAGTATACCGATTTCGGTATCTTGCTGATGAAACCTTTTAGTAGGTGAAACCGAAACAGTTAGGCATGGACGTTGGGTGGATTGGTTCATGTATTTCAATATTTGGAATTACTCATTATACTTCGGGAGTCCTTGTAATTATTGGAACCAAATTTAAACTCGAATCGTTAGTTCCGGTTCGGGCCCAGTTCTACCCATAACATTTTTTTATATATTTATATTTAATAAAAAAATTCACATGAGACATTTTCGATACGTATACCTAACACACTACAACTCGATAATATATTTGTGCAATGGAGTTTTAAATCGATTCTTTAAGTTGATCATGACTCAAAATAGCGGAGACTAAAAACCACAAGAGGAAAAATATAAAACATCAAAAATCAAAATACAGTTTGAGAAGAAATGATTTTTCTTAATAAATCTTATTCGATCAATAAATGGCGCATGTTAGAGTTTATAATTTAATTATGGACAATGCTTAAATTCTTCTACTTTTAAAACGAATTGACATAAAAAAAACCAAGTAGATACATAAATATATAATATCAAGAAATTGCAGTAAATATATTGAACTCGTTCTATTTGAATAAAAATAAAAAATATTAATTAAAAAATAATTATATACTATCAACAAATTGCAATCCATATATTGAACTCGTTCTATTTGAATAAAAAAAGAAAATTTATATTTCAAAAGAAAATCACGAACTCGAAATAATCTAAAAGGTACACTACAATTCAAACTATGAATATATAAAGTTCAATTGTCATGCATTATAAAAAAAATAAAAGAATCACTTAAGTTTGTAAATAATGAAAGAAAACTAGATGTTCGAATTACAAAAAATAAACGTTTTAATTCATCAACTTAAACCACGACCTTAATATAAACTTTTTGATTCATAAAAAGCCCAAATTACAAAGATTAACATATACTAACCTTTGAAATGCAATACTCTAATGTGCGGAAAGAGGAAAAAAAAGTAGAAGTCAGTTATGGTTTTTTTAGGGAGTCTATAGTTTTAAACAAATTACTACTCAAATTAAAGTTTTTAGCTTTTTTATTATTATTTTTATCCTGTATGTAAATTGTAAAAAATAAAAAAAATTATATAAAAAATGAGTTCCATTCGGGTACCCACGATTTTGGTTCAGGAACCAATGACCCGAACGTAGTCGGTTCTCTGTTCTGATTCCTAATTTATTTTTTCTGAAATCGGATCGAAACTGGTTCGGTTTCTATTAAAATGCCTGGGCCCAGAAATAATGTATTTAACACTAAGGGTTATTTGATTGTAAGGGTGGAAATTGGTGGAAAGAAAATGAATTTTAGGGAATCTAATTGCCTAGAACTTGTTTTCCAGGGAATTGTTAATTAAGTGTGTTTGATTGATATAATTTTTCACCCGAATTTTTTTAAAAATTTTGAATCTTTTTATTCACGTTTGGCTTTATTTTACATGTAAATTGTTCATTAAAGTGAATTTTTTTACAATTGGTTATGAAATTTGTTACTATTGCCAACAAGTTAAAAAAAAAAAAAAAGTTTGCTCGAAAATTATTTTTGCACCATTTTTTCATCAAGTTTAGTGTTCGTTTGGTTTCGTTTTACATGAAAATTGTTCATTAAAGTAAAATTTTTTTTACAACTGGTTATGAAATTTATTTTCATTGCAAAAAAA